GCCCCCCCCCCTCCCACTGCCGTCTCCCAGGTTCTGGTCCCCCAACTCCCAGTGGCTTCCTTGCTCTGTCCCTCACATCTCTCCTCTGCTCTGCCTTGATCCATTTTCTGGCCAAGTTTCGACCTTGTTCGGCCTGCACCTTATGTTCAACTGCTTTTCCCTGCGCAGCTTACTCCTTGCTCCTGATGATGGTTTCAGTAAGCACCTCTGAAGCACTGGTCTGTATCTCTAAGAGTTCATGGTGCAATATCCCAGAAGACATTCATCTTCACATTTAAATGGTGTTAAATTAACAAAAGAGATATTTTTGTAAGACTTGTCTGGAGAGAATAAAAATAAGTCTTATGATGTACAGTCCGCAGACCAGGAGAAAATCCCTGCTAGGAATTCGATATACGCGCATGCGCAAGATTTCGCGGCGAGTGACGACCCATCCTAAAAGCATTTGTTCCACAACCACTGAACGAACAACAGACGACAGGCTTTCATGTGTCACAGTTCCCACCAATAGCAGCCCTCTAGTCCACTTTAAAGTAAACATCCCCCCTGCACCGCCTCAGAAACGACTTCCCCCCGCGGGGATTTTCTCCTGGTCTTTGGACAGTAGTTCAGGGGTTCTCACCGTTTTTCGCTGGTGAACCACTAATTCTAATTTAACACATTAAACCAAATGTGTTCAGGGAAAACTTATTTATGTTAATATTATCTTCGATTTTCTTACTTAGTTTGCGTACCACCAGTGTATTATATAGTTTTGTTGTGAGGGATGACTATGTGTTTTACGACAGCGTCTTTCGAATGATGTATGATGATCCTAAAATGGCGGTCTTCTGAAATTCCCTGATGTGTTTGCCCAGAATGTTGGCCAAATATTTTCTAAGTGACTTGGAGACAGTTCCAGTTGCTCCCATAATTGTTGGGATTACTTGTACTTTCACTTTCCACATTTTCTGTATTTCAATGAGAAGGTCCTTGTATTTCAAGATCTTCCCTGCTTCCTTCTTAATCACATTCCTGTCAGTCGGTATTGCTATATCAGTTTATTATTATTATTGTTGTTGATTTAGCTTTCACAGATATGACAGTACTTTTTAAAGTGAAGTGTCCATCTGCACCATTCCCTTATCCTTTAGGAAAACTGGACAAAACGTGTTATAATAAACTAGATTCTGAGAGTCCATGCACAGGGTATGCATTTCGATAGGCATCAGACTTATTACATTACCTGTCCTTTGTTGAATTACTTGTCATGAAAGTGCAGCCAATGAGTCAAAATATTTTTATTATGGAATATTTAATCCATTCATATGGAAAAAAAAAAATTCCACAGCGGGTTTAAACAGGACTTCTCATTTCCAGAGCATTTGTAACCCAATGTTTATGTTGGTCTTCTGGGTTGTGATGCTGTGTGGACTTCTAGTTAGATACCGACATTTCTAAGACATATGTCTCCATCTTCAGTACTGAAAAAGGATGTAAAGACTGCTGTTTCATTGTAGTTCTTTTCAGCTTGAAAGAAAATAATGTTTGTTCCTTTGGTTACGAAGAATTGGAAAGTTGATAAACAAATTAACTTCATGTAACATTGCACCACTGTGCTGAATGTTGGTATTACAGCCCGTGTGCCAGTTGTTTGGGTACATTATGGACGTCAGCGGGATATTTTGTTTCCAAAAGTTAGCACTGAATGTTAAAATTTATTTTATACACCAGTGACTTCATACTGGCGTAAGTGACGCTTGAACACCAGCAGTTACCAGATTGTGACATCGGACAATTTGTGTATCAGTCACGGTAAATTTTACACCCAGATAATTTAAGTTTTAGTATTTTCAGAATGACGCGAACATGTAGGACTTGATTATTTTTTCGTGTTTACGTATCCGCACACTGGCTGCCGAAATCAGTGGTGAGAGCAGTTTCGTTCGGTTAGTGAGTTTCGTGGTAAGTCTTCAAGCCGTGTGATCGAGAAATATCAAAATACCTACAGGATATATGATTGGGTACTTTTTACATTCTTCTTTCTGTCCACGATGTGACTGTGGTCTGACATGATAAAAGTGACGGTGTGGGAACAATGTGCATGTAAGCAGTCTTGCTGTCCATTGTATCGTAACATAAAACAGTGGAACTACGAAGTGCACATAACAAGGGGAGTGCTTTAAACAAACCTTAACTTTGTTTAGAGTCATAAGATGCTGCTGGGGACGGTTTTAATCTTGAAGCAGGAACAGGCCAAGACTAATAAATCGTGTTGATGTTTGGAAGAATGCTTTGCGTTTGCTTCAACATATAAGTTATTCGGTGTTCATGTAAGATGTAAGTGCGGTTTATCTGGTACTGTTTTGTGTGTACGAAGGTCAACTAAGGAATGTATTGGCTTACTACGTATGGCTGCAATTAACACGTGAGTAATACAGTTTTCAGTCTCTATACTTAGGTTAGAATAGATTACGTTAGGTCTTTATTTTACTTGTTACCAAGAAATGATGTTATCTTGGTTCTTATTCTGTATCTCACTACGTTAAATTTCTGTTATTATAATTAATCGAAGTGGATATTGCCAGTGTTCGGCGGAGTAGTCTCTTTGTATTGGAGTATGAGTACAAACATAATCTCATTTCTCAGTGATTATATACTATTCATTTCTGCATTGGTCAAACATTTGAATGTGAATGGCTCCATGTGATCGACTTCTAAGCAATCGTTCCAAAGTTGGTACTTGTAGTCACAGATTATTTTATTGTTTGTGTTCTGGTTTGCATCTTCCAGATTTCAATATCGTTTTTGTAGTTTTTTGCAATGGGTATTTCTCAACGACGAACCCATCATAGTCTGACTAAACGTTACTTAATTATGGCATGCAGCTTCTAGCTTTGTAACCATTTTCCGTTTTA